AGAAGTTTTTAGAAGTAGCAGTTCTCAAACCTTTCTGCAGTCTCCTCATAGGGTAACAATAACAGTCCCTTTTCTCTTTTCACTGTCTTTAACTTGAAGCAGCAGTTGTAGTGAGCAAAAACCAGTTCCTCTGTTGATTTGGGCAGTTATTTCAATGAGAATGTGGCCAAGTCGCAGGTTATAAACAAAATTTGTTTCTCATCACAGCTGGCAAATATGCCTGAAATAACTTTGTGCCACTTTATTGCTACTTATATAGAATTTGAGAGAAAAGATCTCTATCACTTACTTTTCTTCTGATTATGCACTTAAAAATCTTTGAGTTAGGCATTACTACTGGTTAGTACATTATTAATACCTTCACTGGAACACATTTAAAGTTATTCTCTTATTTTAAATAGTATGTCTGCAAAGCACAAATTCTGATAGAATTTTATAAATATATTTTTTAAGGGCTCTTGTAATTTTACAAATAGCAAATTTGCTATTTAAGAACCTCCTTCTCATTCTCCTATGAAAAAATACTAAAGCCAAATTTTAATTTATGTGGCATCTCCAGCAGGATCACAATTTGCTATTTATTTCCATGTTGCCATTCTTTGCTATATTGGGGTTATATAATGTGTAAAATTCTATGCAGTACTCTGTGGGTTCAAAGTTAGAAGCTGTAATTTATATATCAGTTATTATTGGGGTATTTTCCTGGTTTACTGTTTAGAATGTTACAGGATCTCTTCACAATCTCTTGTACTTTACATAATCCTCCCCATGTCATTTACAGAACAACATCAGGTAAAAAACAGTTTTCAGTTAATTTACACTGTTCAAGTACTGTTGCTTTTCTTTGGAGTCCTGCATTCTAAATCAGTGCTTATACTGTATTACATGTAATTGACTTTCTAGGTCATATCTGGAGCAGATAAGGATTGATATTGTCCATGAACCCTCATAATTTGGTTACTGTTCCCGAGCCTCCTCTTCTGCAGTGTGTAGAGAGAGTTTGTACTGTGAGGTTCAGGTCTGCTTTGCCGGTTATTTGAGGCTCTCAACACCTTCAGGAGCCCCCAGGGTCAGAGTTTATCTGCCAAGTGTGACCTTTTTTCTACTAGCCAGCGTGGGGTGATGGAAACTGCCTTCTCCCATGCTCTGTATTGGCCTTCTGTCTTACAAGGGCTGATGGCATAGGACTGGTTCCATGAGAAAATAAAGCCAAAGTGAAATTCAAGCTGTTTCGGTGGCCAGTACAACTGATAATGTGCAGAATGAACATTTTATTCACTGTTTTCCCAAATACCAGTTGGTTTTATTCTAAATCCCAGCCCTAGTCAAGAGCCACCTTGTATACTGAAAACATAGCAGAAAAACACCAATCAAGCTTCTCCTTTAATTTTTCAATTAAAAAGTGTTTTAGCTTCAAGTCTTAGAATTGAGCTCCCATTTCCAGGGCTACATTTCCTCCATTCTTCTGCATTGTCACAGCTTTTATTTTACTGTCTTCTGTCTTTTAAAATAAGAACTGCCTTCACACCATTAACCAGGTCCTTGTTTGATTCCTCCCAGTCTCTCAGAGTTCAGAGCAATGACCCTTATTCATTCCCAAAAAACATTTTCTAGTTTCACTTATATGCAATCTAAGCAAAGAACCTTGGTGAAACCAAGTTAACTTTGGTGAGTCTACAAGCAAAGTAGAAATCAAATTTGCATCACTAAGCATTTTGAGGACTCAAGCTTTAAATTACTTACACAGCTGGAAATTGCTGCCTTTTCTGAACAGGCTCCATTCTTAGTCTCATTTTTAATCCCCCATTTTAGTCTTCATGCCTTGTCATACGACACTCAGCTTTATTTACTCAGATTGTATCCTTCACTCATACATCTAGCGGAAGCCCTAAGTAAATTTTGAGGAGCACATAGAAACAATCCATGAAGAGGTGTGGTAAAGAATAAAGCTTTTCTAGCCATTTGCTCCAGTAGGAGCAGCTTCATCTTAGTCTGCTTCCCTGGAGCAATTTCTTTTTCTCTCAAAACAAGAAATCTGTAATGGCTCAGAATTACAAATCCAACAGAGTCTAGTCAAAACAAAACTCTCTGGGTTATCTGTTGGTGTATTTCCCTGACAGAAAATGCAGAAACCAAATATTTCCATGAATGAGGTGCCTATCTCCACATATACAATAGATAGTCTTAAGTTTTCTCTAAACTACAAATTTCCACTTATCATTGTGTTAGTTAGAATGCTTTTGAAGTCCATGGAATTTTTTTTGTATCTTTATTCAATGACTTCCCTTTTCTCCTAATATATGTCCCATACCTAGCTATACTTGTTGAACATTTTTTAAGCAGAGTGTCTAATAAATTCTTACAATTAGCATAAGGCTTGATAAATTAAAGGGAATTACATGGCAGTTACCGTGAATCTAGAGTACTAGGTCAGTTTTATAACATTAGAGCTCTGCCTTGTTAAGTATCTAACACCACCTATTACGACATCTTCTGCTAAAATAATGTTAACGCCTGATTACTTAATTCGCTAAAATCACTTCCATTTTTATTTCCTGCCATATATCTCTGTGTCACTTAGTGTCATTTGCTGATTATTTCTAGCCACATTTTCCAGAAGTCTCACATTTAAATAACTTAATCATCCAGAGATCCCTTCGCATTTTCATGGAATGCAGTTTCTTGGCTCAAAAGTAAGCTTACACATTTCCCAAGTCTTATACTGTTATATCATTAATACAAATATATTAGATACCTTTAAAATAAATTATGAAGGCTGTTCCCTTTGCATTTTCCTGTATACAAACAGTATGTTTATAAAATAAGAAATTGCCAATATGTAATAATAGCTCTTTTCTATTTTTCTTTCTGAACTGTGAAGTTAAATGCAGACTAATCATTGTGCCACAAAGAAAATGAGTAAGGCAGCATTTGGGAGCTAATAACTGCTCAGGGAAAGCTGACAGTGTGTTTCTTGGGAACACTCAGCTCATGAGCAAAGCTGTTTATACAGGGTGGGAGACATCCTAATGTTGGAGCTACATACAATTACTAATCGTAAATTATAGCATTTACATGACATCTATCTTTGGAGCACACCGTATTTTGTGTGCCTTCTAGCTGAGACTGACCACTTAAGTACCTTTTCTCGTTATTTGGCTGTCATTTCCAGCTACTAGTCTCTCCAAAGTAAACAGTTTTCTTGTTTCTCTTAATTTTCATATGTGATGAGATTTATTCCCAGCTGCCTCTGTAAGAAACTGAATGGATTCCAGCCACTGCAGTTGGATTTTTTCTTTTGTTTTCTTTTTCCTTTTCTGTAACTAATACTTTAGAATCAAAGTGAGGTGTTTGTTTATGAGTTTGACTGTCCTAGTGGGTAGCTTCCTTCAACATAACCTTGAATATAAAGCTGTGCCCACGCGTGAGCATATCCAGATGCCTGCCCTTGCACCCACGGGCACACATTAGCCTTTGTGCTTCCAGCATAAAACTCATTTGAATCTGAATGCAGAAGTCATCACTCTTGCAAATTCAAAAGCCACCCACTGAATGGATGTTATTGTTCTGTGTGTAACTTGTGCTGAGGATACCACAAATTGCAAACAGGCTACTGAGTTGTAATGTCTTTGAAAGTTATTGCTGTGGTTGTTTCTTAAAACAATGACAAAAACCCCAACATCCAGCCCTTCACAAAGTCCAACTGGCCAGACCCATGGCCAGTGCTCTCATTCTGGAAACAAATCAGGGAAGAACACACTATTTACAAGTTTCGATTTTTGCTAGTGTAAATAATCAAACTTTGGGCCTGATCCTGTTCTCAATTACTTAAATTAATTAATGACAGATGTCCAAAATCCGAGTGAAATTCAACCCTCAAGAGAGAATTCCCACAAGGCCTTTATATGACTGTTTTAAACAACTTAAGTGATGCTTAGGCTCTATGCTGGCCCTCTGCAAAGAATAAATTTTACCCAGAATGCTTATTGCTTTGATCCCTTATATATAACTCATATCCTTAAGTTTGCACAGCCACAAAAGATCTATACAGAGCTAAATAGCCAGATCTTCAGCTGGTGTAAATTTATATAACTTCATTGACCTACATGGAACAGTACCAATTTTCACTACTCTGGCTTAAAGAATCTCCATGGGACAGAGGTAAGTGCGTATGGTGGGTAAATGGATGAAAGGCTCTTCAGATGATGAAAGACTATATTGCTCTGGAAGTGATTTAAGTTAAACTGGAAAAAAGCCACTCCTTTTCCGGAATAAATCACACAGGGAGTATAATTATGCAGTTAAATTTCTTCTCATGCAGTCAAGCTTGAACTTACCACCACATTTGAGTAAGAAATGAAATGTTTCCCATCTCTCAGCAATATGCCATGTTCTCCATTTAACACACGTATATGCAAACTATATAAGTCCCTCTTTATTTTGAAGGGAAGGGTATTTGTAATTTTCTGTCTTACTCCGAAGGCCAAAAATCTGGCCTGGACCTGTATTCCATATCACTTCTCTGGTAATAGAGTGGATTTCTAGAACAATTTCAAGGGCAGTAAAGAAAATCTCTTACTTCCTGTTTTATGCTCTCTACTTACCCTTTTATTCTGAACAGTTGTGTGCCTGAGTCCTAAATACGTTGTTAAATCAGGTAATTTATAGAAATGCAGGATTCACAGCCATTTTAGGGTATTGTTGTTTCTTTTGATTGTATCTGAAATCACAGAATCACAGACTGAATGGATCTTTCAGACAACTTATCTGCTTAGTGTTGCTGAGTTTTAAAACCACGAATATTTCTCTGTCATGGGAATCCATATCCTATTGCAGGGCACTTTTTTTCCCAGTTATGTATTGAAGTAGCAATTTCTTTCTTTTCAGCTGTTACACATCTGTATTGAAGGCTGGGGAAACTGGCGGTGGTCTGAACCATTCAGTGTGGACAATACAGGGACCTTCATTCGTACCATTCAGTACAAGGGCCGGACAGCATCGCTTATTATCAAGGTTCAGCAGCTCAGTGGAGTGCAGAAGCAAGTAAGGATTTGATTCAGTTTGGAAAAAATAGCATGAGTAATTTAAGCTGTTACCTATTCACCAATCAGTCACTTTGTTATTTGTTCTCTCCTACCCAGATCTGCAAAAAAACAAGTATAGCAGTCTTCTAGAGCCATTTTTGGAAGTTTTTACAATTCTTTTCTTCACTTTGGTGTGGATCTTTTAGCATTTAAAAGCTCAATTACCAATGCATATTTTATATGTTCCAGTAAACATCCCTTTGCGTGGTTTGTAAATTCTGACAGTGCTAAGTTACACAATCACTTGCATGCTTTAAGCTCTTGAGAAACAGATTTATTTTTTTTTTTAAGAAACTGTTCTTATGTTTTAAAAAACATTCTGGGTTATAATTCAGGCCTTCATATTTTTCAAAGAGAAAGAAGTAATGACCAAATTAACATTTGAAAATGAGCTGCTGCACAATAACTTTTCACACACTATCTTTGTAAAGAGATCTGTAATAACGCTGCAGTCGCTCTGCCTGCTTTGGCAGAAGCCAGAGCATGTGGTGGACATAACACGTTCGGCTCATGGATGTGGCAGAGCTCTTTACGTTGCACAACAGCAATACAGCTGATCAGGCAAGAACTGTGCCTGCCATCACTGAAAGCCCTGCTTAGATTTTATGTGGTAGGTTGTAGCTGTGGTGTGTGCTCTCCTTAATGAAAAACAAACAGTGATGGCTGTAGCAGGGATACGTGTGGAATGATGTTCCCTGGGATAGCTTGGAAAAAGTCAGATGTGTGCTCTATGAAAAACAGTTAATGCATGATGGACGGCAACAACGCCAAGTCTAATTTGGTCGTTTTCTAGGTGGGTGCACTTAAATACAGAAATATGTTACCACCGTTTAATGAAATTATAAGCTTTAAAACAGCAGACATACTGTGAAAGGTCTGGATCATTGACTTGTGATAGGAATGTGAGGTGTCAGAAGAAACCTTTCTTCTGAATTACATCACTGTGACTGCTCAGAGAGGTCTCGGTAGAGACCATCACAGAACTCTTAAAATCCAAACCAGAACTATGTCAGCCATGGGCAGTACTGCTGCATTCAGTGGGAAGGAAAGTGGATATGTTACAGGCTTCTGTCAAGCCCAGATATGGCCTTAGCAATATTTCAAGCATTTTACTGCCTAGGTTTCTATGAAATTGCACATACATTTGGCCAATAAAAATAATGTTTTACCATTCACTGCCTTTAGCGGTGCTTGGGAAAACCTGAAGCAGGGAGATTACTCTTCTACAGGTTTTCACACTCTAATTCAATTTTGACCTTTTTTTTTCACAATGGTTTATATTATGAACTGTATTTTTTCTGTGTTTTAGATCCTAATCTGTGGCAGACAGACGGTCTGTAGTTACCTCTCTGAAAGTATTGAACTGAAAGTGGTTCAGCATTACATTAGTCAAGATGGACAGGCCGTTGTTAAAGAACACATCAACTGCCTTGCAGCCAAGCAGAAATTGCCTTCATATATCCTAGAAAACAATGAGCTCACTGAGCTGAGTGTGAAATCTACAGGAGATGAAGACTGGTCCCGAGATGTATGTCTAAGTTCTAAACATCCAGAACACAGCACTGTCATTCAGGTATGACTAGAAATGTGTATATGGAATATAGCATTAGAAGTGTCTGAGAGAACTGGAGACTTTGCATTTAGACTTCTTTTTGATATAATAAATATTGAACATTATCATCGTGAGCTAATGTGTAATGCTGATCTCTCTGCATATAGGTACCGTCTTCGAAGAGTTCAATTACATATGTGTGGTGCACAGTTTTGACTTTAGAGCCCAACTCACATGTGCAACAACGATTAGTAAGTACATTTAATGTCTCTGAAATCTAAACGTTTATGCCTTACATGCCATATAATAAATTAAGTGCGGAATCACCCACTAAGTATTTATTGATAGTTTGTTTCAGCAGTTGTTTTCAAGTGAAATAAAATTAGCCTTAAATCAGTGTATTCTTTTCTTTTTGTAGATTGTTTTCAGCCCTCTTTTCATTGTAAGGAGCCATCTTCCAGACCCAATTATCATACATTTAGAGAAAAGAAGTCTGGGACTGAATGAAACACAAGTGATTCCAGGGAAAGGGCAGGAGAAAGTACTGCAAAATATAGAACCTGATCTTACGCACCACCTGACATTTCAGGCCAGGTAAAACATTTGCTTTCCTTGAAAACAGATCATTTGTATGGAAAAGAAGGAATAATTTACACTTTAACTTCTGCTGCATTTTTCCAAAAGTATGGCATATGCAGAGGAGATAAAAAGAACAAGTATGTGGCCTTAAATGATACCATAGGAAATATTAAATTTGGTGTAACTATGCTAAGCACACTGGCATTTGTTTGGTTAAGCAGTCCACGTACTTCTGTCATAAAAAATAAATTCCTGAATGATCTTGAAATGTTTTTTGAGAATACTGAAGAGTTTCTAGCGTCTCAGACACAAAGGTCATTACATTGTCAAACAAGTCCATGCATGTCAGGAACTGCACAGGAACTTGTTAAACATCCTACTTCATTCATCCATGATTACCTTGAGAGTGTTCCTGCTCAAAGTACATTTGGGAAGCTTCATTAGAGAAGATGTTTGTGCTGCTAATGCTTGATCTTGTTGTGTAAGTGGCTGAATCTGTTTTCAACGACAGGGAAGAAGATGATCCATCAGAATGTGCAGTCCCAATCTCAACCTCACTAATTAAACAGATAGCAACTAAATCCCATCCAGGTGGCAACGTCAGCCAAGTACTGTCCGAGTTCTATGGCACTGCTAATCCTCCCCAGCCTGCATGGCCCTATAATAGGAAGGATTCAGACAGGTAATTCCTTGCTTAACCTTCTTCATGGTTATTGCATTGCCTTTCCAAATAAACTAAAATCACGTTATAGAAGACTATATGTCATCAACATTAAATATATTTTCAGTAATTATATGATTCCTCTATATAAGCTGCAGAATCTGTGGCAGGTGGGAAAAAAATGAGGTCAGCCTATGGGCTGCTCTTTTTTACACTGAGAAGATTGCCTCAGTAAGAATTTTTTTTTAAAATGGAATTTTTTTTTGTGAATGCGCTTTCTTTACTGCAGCTCTAGAGGTTGTTTATTCAGCTGCTGTGTATTTCAGTACAGAAACAGGGAGTTGATGTAGAAGGAGTTGTTGGGGAAAAAAGGAAAGATGATTTTAGGACTACAGAAATCACAGAGTTAGTTCTGAAAGATAGTGGTGATTCTGTTAAGACATTTATCAATTGACTAAATTTAGGTTTAGCTTATGCAGTTAAAAATACGCCTTTATAACCTACACATAGCTAGATCATCTCAGTTCCAGGACGACAAGGTAAGAGGAGATAGTTTTTCTATTTCAAAACCAGAAAAGCCTGACAAAATCCTGAAAATAAGAGCTTATCATTATCATTTGTATTCTTGCATTCATTATTCCTTTGACTTTATGTTTTTGTTTATTTGCTTTTGAACAGCAATGAGCAACTCTCCCAGTGGGATAGCCCGATGCGGGTAAAGCTGTCAGTGTGGAAACCGTGTGTTAAAACTCTGCTGATAGAACTCCTGCCCTGGGCTTTGCTTATCAATCAGTCCAGGTGGGACCTCTGGCTGTTTGAAGGAGAGAAGATTGTTCTTCAAGTGCCTAGTGGGAAAGTAATTATACCTCCCAACTTTGAGGTAACTTTGTCGTTCACATTAACAGTCACAGTTCTGCTAAACATGCTGGTTCTGCAGAATGGTTGTTACTCCAGATGATCCCCACTTTCATCACTGTGTCTGTTTGTTTGTTAGTCAGATGTTGAGGAATAGCAATGACTGTAGGAGTTTGCCATGCTGACTGAGTCACCGAGAGAGTGCACAACATACTTGATAGCAATGTTTGAAAAACAATGTGTCTTAAAGATGCATAGTTGAAAATTGTCCGTAAGACACTGTAGGCAGAAGACCTTCATGCCATTAGCAGTCTTCTTTCCTTCCTCACAATTCAGCCAAAAAATCCACAATGTAACAGCCCAAGAAAATTGCTACAAAGGCCAAATAAAGACTTTGGCTTCTGTGCCGACCTGTCACTTAGGAAATGTGTATTCTTTAGTTTTGAAATACTTAAGAGAATTTGACACAGCAGCTTGTCAATTCCAATTGAACAATCTGATACTTCCTGTTTATTTTGTCACCTTTTTTCCCCTCCTGTATGTCTGTTAACAAACAAAAGGTCTGCCTAGTTACATATCTCAATGTAGGCTATGGGTTTAATTCTCCTGTGAGGATCAGTCCCTTATTTGCTTTGAAGTTTCATCTATCCTTGTACCACATAGAAAGAATCAGAGGGAGAAAGGTAGGGAATTAGATTGGCTGCATACCTGAAACTAGGTTTTAATCCAGTAGAAGTAGATTCAAATTGTCAGCAACTGATAATTGGTCATTTTTCACTTGCAGGAAGCTTTTCAGGTTGGAATATACTGGGCAAACACTAATACTGTGCACAAATCAGTGGCAATTAAACTGGTTCATAATGTGACCTCCCCAAAATGGAAGGATGCCGATAACGGGGAAGTAGTATCGTTGGATGAAGAAGGTTTTGTTGAAGCTGAAATAAAACTTGGTGCTTTTCCAGGTCATCAAAAGGTTAGAACAAAATTTTTGTGGTTTGTAACTTTATCATTTAAAAACAAAGTCAGATAGAAAATGAAAACATTCAAATGTATGCGGTGTGAAAGCACCTCCCTAATTATGTTAATATATGTCCAACATAATGAGAGTATAAACAATGTATGGAATATAATTTAAAGAATTAGATAGCCAAAAACATACTGTGCAACTCATCAAGATAATACAAAGTAATAATTTTCTGTAAAAAGAATTAATGAATTCTCAATTTTGTTTGGAAAACATTGACAGGTGCAACTTCAGAAGTACGTGATGTGACTCCAGTTATGAAGTACATGAATATAGACAGCACTTCCACAGTTAAAAAGAAAATGGCAGTTCTGTTGCTACATTTCAGTACCTTTTGTGGGTTTGTGTGACCTCATCGTGATTTTTATTATCTTACAGTTGTGTCAGTTCTGCATTTCTTCCATGGTTCGACAAGGTATACAAATTCTACAGATAGAAGATAAGACAACAATAATCAATGATACATCATATCAAATCTATTACAGGCCACAGCTTTCTATTTCCAAACCCCATTCAGGAGAAGAGGTAAAGCACTGCAGATACTGTTTTTGTTTGTCATCTACAGAACATGGTTGTTTAGATCTGTGTCTGTATTTAAATCGGATGCATAAAGCAGGACTTGAACAGAAATCTTTAGACATAGTAATGATAAAGTAATTTGTATTGTTTAAAATATAGAATACTGGGTAAATTCAAATCCAGTAATTAACTGGGATCAGAAATCTGTGCAAAGCAGCAGATTCTTGCACATTACAGAATTAGTTCTGCCCGTTCTCCATCTGTTCAGGCACTAATGGCCATTTCTGTAAAATAGTCAGCATAATCCATACTAGTTGTTGAAATTGTTCTCAGAATTTTTACTGAGTTTGCATGTAAAAGAGGTATTTTGGCCTGGCAGGCTGAAAACTGTTTGTTATCCTTTGGGGAAGATTCCAGTTATCTGAACAAAGCTGCAGAACTAGAGACGTGTCCAAAGTTTATGTATTCAGCAAACTGCATCAAATTGTGAATATCAGTTTTCTAATAATCTCACAGTATATTTAAGGACTAGCTTGCAAGAACCAAAGTTTATGCATGGTCAATATATTTTAATCAACCATTTATACATATTTATTGAAGGTTACATTTATAGTAAAATATGTGGAAAGCATTCTCAGGGTCAAAATTACTAAAAGAGTTGGCAGATCAACAAATTTTTAAAGTTCACTATTTCTGTGTTGTTTTCCTTCTGTATTAATTTTCTTCACGTCAGTGTCTACAGTTGTGCATCACACAATTTGTGGCAGTCTTATGGGATGGGGAGTTGGAAGATCCTTGAGGCTAAAATTTGTTCTTAGTTTTGTAACTATAAATGGATTTTCTTCTCACAGTCATGTTACAGCAATGTTATTTGCTTTTGGTAGAGCTGTGTTGTGCAACTAAGAGCAGACTGTAGATCACAGATTAGAGAATCATAAAAAGGCTTGAGTTGGAAGGGACCTTAAGGACCATCTAGATCCAAGCCTCCCACCACAGACAGGGACATCTGCCACTAGATGAGGTTGCTTAGGCCCCCCAGATATCTGTGTTCAGCCAGACAGCCCTTAATGCAATGGACTTCGTGCAACCTTTAGTTGTGGTCACTGAGTGTTCTGTGCAAAATGAGCATGAAGAAAATCCCTGTTAGGAGCCAGCATGCCATGGCACCATCATCTTTTTTCTTTCCAGGACTTCCACTCACCTGACAGTGCAGTGTTCAGCATCGGTCCAGCTGGGGCACCTCCCCGTGAGGCACTCAGTGCTGTTCCCTGCTGGGACCTGATGTCGGACACCAGTCCCATGATGGGAGGGGAGCCTCCTACCGAAAAGCGTGTGCTGCTGAGTTTCAGCCCAGGGGGCTGCGCTGGGAGCTGGGAGCTGTGGAGCCTTCCCGCTGTCATCAAACCAGAGTTCGCCAGACAGAGCGTGGCAGTGCCCACGGGCGTTCGTAGTGAAAGTGGATTTTGTACCAGGTACTGTGCACTGACCAGTCACGAATAATGAATTTCCCTTGTTGCTATAAACCCTCAGCTAGTAAGAAACTGTAAGAGATTAATGCAGAAGTCAGAGTAACACATGCCCCCCATATGTAAAGGCAAGTCTTACTTTAATTTAAAAATTGTTATCTTCTGATGGTTTTGATGCTTTTATTGTAAATGGTTTAATGTTATGACCGTGTAGAAGTTGTACAATTTTTATAATACATGGTCTGCTATTTTTTTATGTGCATGCCAAATAAGAGCATGAAAAGTTTTTATTGAGGATTGTGGTCTTTTTTAATTTGTGGGTACCAATTTAAGAGTTCGAGGACAGTGTGTAATAATACAATACAAACATTTAGATTTTGTTTATAAAAGGTAAACATATATTTTTGTAAGCATAATAAGTGGATGAATGGGAAAAGCAGAAAAGAGATTAAACTATTTTGAGATTGCGGCAAAGTAAGATTTCCAAGTTTTAAACCTTGAATTGTCCAAATGTGCATTCTACTTACAAACAAAGGCATCCAGCTAGTTAAAAATAACAGTCCAATGACTTGTCATATGCCCAGCTTCAGTTCTCAGACCTGATATGTGAATCTATTCATTCTTATACTGGCACAAACAAGAAACAATCTGCTGAAATTAGAGAAGATAAATCCATATATATTTGCAGTGATGTGATCTTCCTCTTGCCTGAAGTGCTTGATATCATTCCAATCTTCATACAATTCCTCTGCAGTCTAAGAGGTGGATACTAAAGATTCTCAAGAGGACTTCAGATTTTAAAAAATTTAATGGAAAGAACAAGGAAAGGATTCCTTATAATAACGGGCATAGAGAATCTCATATTCCTAGTCAAATTTCCAGGCTGTTTGGATATTTAAAATCACTATGAGGTGAAGTTTTTTAGAAATAGGCAAGGTATTTGCATAAGAAAAAAAAAAGAATTTATGCACGAAGATGTTTTATGTAGCTACTGAGTAGAACTAAATTAATTTATTTTTATTTTGGAAATTGATGTACTAATGATCCATAACATTAACATTTAAAACAGTGATAGCATTGTGGATCATTCCAGGGGAACAGTCAATTACAGATTTATGTATTTGTTCAAGTATCTTTCATGTGTAGCAGAGAAGTATCCATGCAAATTCTTCTGGAAAATTCTAAAGATTTATGTTGAAAATTTGGGACTACAATCTCCTGGTTTTAATTTAATATAAATCTCTGCTGGCTAGGACTCTCATCTTGCAGACACACGTGTTCAATTTAACTCATGAGTAGCCTCTATTTAGATATTTCTTCTCTAACGTGTTTTAGGCTATTTCCATGTGTTGTTCTGTTGAAGTGGAGATATGCACTTGCCTAAATGTAGATAAATATCTATGGAATTGGAACGTGATTATAAAGAATCTCACAGCTGCTAGTTTTGAATGTTTTTAATTGTTCAGAATAATAATACATAAACATTTCATCCAAAACATGCATAATCCAATATATCTGTTTTAGAGCTATAGCACTGACTTATCAAGAGCATCTTGGCGTGACGTACCTAACACTTACAGAAGATCCCAGTCCTCGTATAATTATACACAACAGGTGCTCCGTTACTCTGCTTGTAAAAGAGAATTTCAAAGGTAGGTACTGTGCAGTAATTGGAAACAGTGCACTGTTGTAGTATAAATTATTTTACTGTATCTCCAGTACAAAATTGAGTTCAATATGTGTTTTGGTTATAACAAGAACTTGATGCCCTCACGAAGGTCTGTCTCAAAGTGAGAGACTCTGGAAGCTATTGGAGCTAATTGTGAGGTCAGGAGTATGAACTTAAATGTCTCCAGGCTTTTGGGTCTCCCTGGTTCCAGCTGTCAAGGTGGCTCAGCTGTAGGAAGCTCATAGGCAGTAGGGTTTTGTTAACATCAATTCAATCCCATGGAACAATTATATTTCCTCGGATGTACAAATGCAACAAAAAACATATTGTCAAAAGTCCAGTTACGTTATGTTAAAGTAATGATCAGTGGAACATTATTTATGTAAAACAATGAAATTTAAAAAAAAAAAAAAAAAGGAAAACCCCCAAACATACAATATTCCAACCAATAGAAAAACAATATTTGTATTTCAGACAGAAACTTTTTCATTTGTGTAAGCATCAGTGAGTTTTGATTTCATATGGGTTTTAGAAAGTGCTAATCTTGCATATTTTATAAAATTTCAGATACACCAAAGTTTGAAGTTTATTGTAGAAAGATTCCAGCTGAGTGTTCAGTTCATCATGAACTTTACCATCAAGTTTCCAGCTATCCAGATTGCAAAACAAGAGATTTATTGCCCAGTATTCTTCTGAAAGTGATGTCATCTGATGAATCAGTAAATGAATGGAGTGATGTTGTGGACATCAACAATCAAGGAACACAAGTAAATAATTATAAACTATTTCCTAGTTCACAGCATAAATGGCTGTTGTCTTCCTGATCTGCACAGTACATTGTTCCTCTGCAATAAGCATTTCCTTTCTATTGGTTTTAGTGTTTTTATTTAAGTTTTTGCAGCTCTTCTGCCTCAGCCCCTTCCTGTGAAAGTTTTAGAACACAGACTGTCTTCGTTGCTGGCTGTTTTTAAAATAGCTAGATCAGAAATACAGGCTGTCTAACACTGAATTTTTTCACTTCTTTTTGATTAACCTGGTGTTTCCTGGAAAAATTAGCCCTGAAACTTTCTGGTCACTGTAAACGAAGAATGACACTTGGTCCAGGAGAATCCCTCTATTTGATAACTTCATTATCACAGATTTTTATCTCTACATCTATCTTGTAGGAATCGTCACTGTCATTCTCCCTCCGTATCTTCCCAGAAGCTACTCGTGTCTTTCTAAAACAAAACAAAATCCCCTTTTATTTCCTTCTGCTATTTTCCCCCAGTCTTGAGGTAAATGAAAGCTTCCTTGACTGGAG